GCCTCACAAAGCATGATGTAATCCATCACAGCCACATTGGGGGGGGGGGGGGCAAGAAGCCCTGAACAAGGAGGCTCAGATGGACTGCCTGGTTGGTGACCATGAATGAGAGACAGGGTACCACATCCCTGTTTGGGACATGGAAGTTTTCACTGGGACCCCTCAAAGATCCCACTCGATGCATCTCTTCGTTTTTACCCTTTTTGGCTGTAATAAACCTGTACTAACTATGGTATGCTTTCTCCATGAATTCTGTGAGTCGTTCCACTGAATTAACACACCCTCAGAAACAGTGAGAGCCAGCAGGGGCTGGCGTCTGTCCCTTTGGCAGTTTGAGAGAAAACGTCCTCATAATGGGGGAGCCCAACACCACTCTGCGTGGCTGGGGCTGAGAGACAAGTGTCCATCTAACTTAAGAGCCCCGACCCCGCTCTGCATGGCTGGGGCTGAGAGACAAGTGTCCATCTAACTTAGGAGCCCTGGCCCCGCGCTGCGTGGCTGGGGCTGAGAGACAAGTGTCCATCTAACTTAGGAGCCCCGACCCCGCTCTGCGTGGCTGGGGCTGAGAGACAAGTGTCCATCTAACTTAGGAGCCCCGACCCCGCTTTGCGTGGCTGGGGCTGACAGAGAAGTGGCCATCTAACTTAGGAGCCCCTGCGTGGCTGGGGCTGACAGAGAAGTGTCCATCTAACTTAGGAGCTCTGACCCCGCTCTGCGTGGCTGGGGCTGAGAGAGAAGTGTCCAGCCAACGGAGGAGCCCGGACCCCGCTCTGCGTGGCTGGGGCTGAGAGACAAGTGTCCATCCAACTGAGGAGCCCGGACCCCGCTCTGCGTGGCTGGGGCTCAGAGACAAGTGTCCAGCCAACTGAGGAGCCTGGACCCACTCTGTGTGGCTGGGGCCAAGAGAGAAGTATCCATCGAACTTTTTAATCCCCGCCCCGCTAAGCCTGGCCGGGGCTGAAAGAGAAGTGTCCATCTAACTTATGAATCCCCACCCAGCTCAGCATGGCTGGGGCTGAGAGACAAGCGTCTGTCTAACTTATGGGCACTGACATAGCTCTGGGTAGCTGGGGCTGAGAGAGAAGTGTCCACCTAACTTAGAAGCCCAGACCCCACTCTGCGTGGCTGGGGCTAAGAGACAAGTGTCCATCCAACTTAGGAGCCTGGACCCCGCTCTGCATGGCTGGAGCTGAGAGAGAAGTGTCCACCTAACTTAGAAGCCCGGACCCCACTCTGCATGGCTAGGGCTGAGAGAGAAGTGTCCACCTAACTTAGGAGCCCGGACCCCGCTCTGCGTGGCTGGGGCTAAGAGACAAGTGTCCATCCAACTTAGGAGCCCGGACCCCGCTCTGCGTGGCTGGGGCTGAGAGAGAAGTGTCCACCTAACTTAGAAGCCTGGACCCCACTCTGCGTGGCTGGGGCTGAGACAGCACCCTGGCTTAGTGCAGTAACAAACCGTCTTCCTGACTTTTCTTCACACAGTGCCACCTTTACTTAGGAACTACTTCACGAAGGGTCTTCATGTTTCACTTCTCTGTGACCCTGCAAATGCTACTCCAGAAAAGCTCCTACCCAATCCTCAAAACCCTGGCCTCCTCTAGGCAGTGCTACTACTATGTTCTGTCTTCCCACAGAATTCTGTGCATCTCTATTATTGGAAACACTACAGTGTATAATAAGGAGCCCTGGTGGTGCAGTGGTTAAATGCTCGGTTGGTGGTTCAAACCCACCAGCTGCTCCACAGGAGAAAGATGTGGCAGTCTTCCTCCATAAAGCGTTACAGCCTTGGAAACCCTATAGGCCTATGGGCCAGTTCTACTCTGTCCTGTAGTGTCACTAGGAATCAGAATCAACTCGAGAGCAGAAGGTTGGTTTGGTTTATACTGTATTATAACAATTTGACATTTATCAGTTTCTCTGCCTATAGACTAGGATCTCTTTGAAGACAAGAACCCTGTCTTGATAAAGACTGCTAACATCTGAGTACTGACTATGTGGCAGACATGTGATAACTTTATATGCACTCTCATTTAATGCTCACAATAACTCAATTATCCCCACTATAGGCTGAGGAAATTGAAGCTTGGAGAGATTAAGAAAGCTCACACAGGTAAGGCTGCACAGCCAATTAATGTAACTGCTGTCAGTAAGTTGTACACCTGTGAAATGGCAAAAGTTGTGTGATAGATATGTTTACAAAAAAAAAGACCAGCTGCTGAGGCTGCTTATGTGCAACGAAACACCTCATGGGATCTGGTTCCTTGGTTTGGAGGTTTAGGGTCATGGTTTCATGGGACATCCCAGATAATCAGCCTAATACTGTGTTCAGTGCTTGTGTTCTATTGCCTAGTTCACTGGGGGTCTTAAAAGCTTGCAAGCAGGGGGACCTCATACCATCAAGAAAGCAGTGCCAGGAGCAGAGTGTGTCCTTTGGACTGGGGTCCCTGCGCGAAGAAGCTCCTAGTCCGGGGGAACACTGAAGAGAAGGCCGAGACAGAGAAAGCCTTCCCCTGGAGCTGACACCCTGAATTTGGACTTTTAGCCTACTTTACGGTAAGGAAATAAACTCTTTGTTAAAACCAAAAGGAAAAAAAAAAAAAAAAGCTTGCAAGCAGCCATCCAAGGCACAATAATTGGTCTCTATATGCCTGGAGCAAAAGAGAAAGAAAGTCAGGAATAGGAGAAGACATGGAATGTGTGGCTAACTGTCTCCATGAACAACTGCCTCCTTTGCCATGGGCCCAGAGGAACTGGATGGTGCCCGGCTACCATTACTGAACATTTTGATCGAAGATTCTATAGCAGAATCCTGATCAAAAGGGGGAAAATGTACAACAGAATCTAAAAATTTCATGTTATCCAGACTTTCTGGAGTCATGGAGGCTGGATGACCTCCTGAAACTATTGCCCTGAGACAATGTTTAAACCGTAAACCAAAACTATCCCCTGAAGTCTTCTTAAAATCAAACAATAGTCTAGCTTAACTTGTAAAAAATGTCTGCCTTGAGCATTATGCTCTTTTAAGAACTATCTATATGGGATCAAATTGACAACAACTACTCAAAAGATTAGATATGAACCATAGTGGGCAGGGAGTTTATATTAGTGGAAGAGGAACAATCTGGAAAAGGAGGGGTGGGAACGGTTGTACAACTTGAAGAATGTAATCAATGTCACTAAATTATACATGTAGAAACTGTCGAATTGGTTTATGTTCTGCTATGTATATTCTCAACAACAGATAAATTATAAAATTATAATTATAAAATATAGTGTTACATTGCATAATTACGTTATATATTATAGTATATAATTTATTATCTATTTATTAGAAAATAAATTAAAATTGAGAAATTAAAACAAGAAAGCTCATGCACTGTAGCAAACCCTGCAGTTTACTTACTTAATGTACTCCCAAGCTCTTCCTTCCCTAACAGTAACCCAATATTGTTCAAGCATCCCCACATGGCCACATGCTTCATTCAGGGGAAGCTTGACCTCTTCTCAACACTAGCAGGGTTGAAACCAACCGCTGACACGTATTCCACTTTCCAGTGACACTTGAGTGGTTGTGCAAAGCCATTCTGGCCAACGTGGTATAAAAAAATCTGCTTGGGAGCATCTAAGAAAGGTTTCCTCCCCAGTAAGAGACACAAGAAGACACTCTTCTTCCCTGGACACTGCCTTAACTACTACTAGGCTTCTTATTTGAGATAATAAATTTCTTTATAGTAACTTTTAAGCCAATGAAGTGAGAGTTTTTGGTTACTCTCAGCCAGAAGCATCCTAATATATAAAAGTGGTGGGATTGTGATTCAAACAGACAAGGTGACTTCATAACCCTCAAAAACTGAACAATTAGACTATCATCTCTCCCTGTAGCACCCCCACCATCTTGCACCAATGCCTAGCACATAAAAAGCACTTGTTAGATGAATGAAACAGAATTTAAGCTCAGCTTTCAAAGACAAGTAGAATAAATGTTATCATCAAGTTGTAAGTAAAAATTCAGGTCCTAGGTAACACCCTTAAGTAATATAAAGTCTGCTCACGCTTAGATGAGACCAAGGTTTAAGGAATTTGGAAAACAGAGTCCATACTAGAGCGAACAAAGTAATCTTGTAAGCACCAGTTTCCAAATCCAAATCACTCTCAGAAGATGGGATCAATGAAAAAATGCACAGAAGATTCTGTAAGCCTCTTTCACAACACCCATAGCACCTTTCAGCAGGCATGCAAACTTCTGACTCTTCCTTTCATCTCAACCTTGATCCAAAGGGGCCACCCTCTTGGCGTATGTGTGTTGTGGGCCAGAGGGAGAGAACATCCCCCCTTCGTATTTCAAATCCAGTCTAATTTTTACTCAAGAGAGCTCAGTCCTTGAATGATAAAATGGTCAACCTTCACGACTCACGTGAACCACAGGATCCCATACCCCAAGAGCACATGAAGGTCTCTAGAACCTGAAGGATATCCTCCAGACCATTTCACACATAGGTCACAGAAGAGGCCTTGACAAACCATACTGTTTCTGACCAGGTACCTGGACCAACTTCAAAACAGTGACCTAAAGGTGAAATATTCCACATCCTATGACCAATTCCATTCCCCAGAGAAAATCAATGACACTTGTCATTCATGAAGAGCCAATCACCAACGCATTCTTTCTCATCATCCATTTACTACAAGACACAACACACACTTTAACTTCAAGGCTGCAAATGCTTATAAACCTTCTAGCACAAGATCTTCTCTTTATCACTGGCCTTTTCTCAAAGTGCTAAAGCATAACAATTTCTTTTTTTATTAACCTCCAGCAAAAATCAAAGAAAACTCTACTTGCTCTATGATAAAATGCCCAAAAGCCAGAATCTAACTTTGTCTTATGGGAAGCCAAGAAGGCGTGTTGACTGCTCACAAAGGACTTTTTTTAAGGACCAGTTTTGATCCACCAAGGCAGCCCAGCCATCTCCAAGAGTGCCCTCTAAAGCACAGCTTACCTTGTAGTTGCTAGAGTTCACCCAAGAGGTAGCGAGTCCATCCACAAGCTTATCTAACATGGTCTGGTCATGCTCAAGGTCAGCTGACTTCTGTTTGTCTGAGAAATAATCTATAAGTTCTTGGCCAACCTGCAGTCGCTTCCCCACATCCTTCTGCAACACCTGTGCCAAGCAGGACTCCATGCGAGGCTCCATGGTGGAATTCAAATCCAAATCCAGCAAAAGCTAGAGGGCAGTCAGGATGACTCCCTCCTGGTATAGGGATCCTGGAGGTTGTCTCTTTGTTTGCTGAAGGTTACTAAGAGTCTGTGTTTCAAAAATGCAATCTGGGGAATGGCAACAATGCACCATGTGTGTCCGAAGAGCAGCTGGTAGGATATTAAAAGTCCAATTTAAATAACCAGAAGAAGATAAAGGAGTAAGTGGCAGAGTGATGCTGTACTACTGGGTCTGAAATACTTCATAATTCAGCAGTCCATTCTGAAAAAGAAGAGAGAACATGAAATCAGCACAGATTAAACACTCAAATGTTATGAAACATTAAATCAAAGACAAAGCAATCCATGCTGCAGAATCATTTATAATCAAATGGACTGAGATTTATGAACGCTTGGCAACCACATGAGTAATAATCATTGCTTTCATCAGAAAGAACACTGAAACCCAAAGAGAGCCAATGAGCTACCCAATTGGTGGGGAGATGCTTTTCACAATTTTCCAGTTTGTAAATATACTAGTCAGGAAATCAATCTTCTGCTTTAGTTAGCATATCTATTTGTAGCTTAAATTCTGCTTCCCACCAAAACCCTAACACAACTCTGTGTGAATTAGTATAGGACTTCAGCCTACTGCCTTACTCTTGACTCTCAAGTCTTCTAAAAATCCAAGTACCAGAGGTAGGGAGGGCTCCGTTAGAAACACCATCGACCAAAGTGGCCAGCTTGTGACCATTAACCACATTAACCCACATCAGACTTCTCGCTGGGCAGCTTTACAGTGGGGTGAGTAGTAGCCATGCCCCACCCACAAACAAAGAAAACAGAGAGACGAAGAGAAGGAAACTGGTCCACTTTATGATCAGTGGAGAAGAACCAAGATTCTCCAACCGCAGCCAGCAGCCACAGCCAGACATGAGTAAGGCCAGCGTGGACCATCCAGCCGTTCCAATCATCATCCGACTACAGCTACACAAACAAATGCAAGCAGCCAAGCAGGAAAACCACCCAGCCAAAGCACAGAACTATGAGAAAGAGCATCTCGTTGTTTTAAACCACTAAATTTGTTACACAGTGCAGGAGCCAATACATCCTGTTGCTCTTGGATAAATACCTCTGGAATTGTAGAACAAGACAGCCATAAAATCAGAAAGCAGGCTGTTTGGCTGCACTCCATTCCTCCTTTACAAACTGCATATTTATTTGGATGACTACCCCAAGGGATAGGATCGAGTCTGCTCATTCCTGCGAAGTATTTTAATAATAAAAATATTAATTGGCTTAATCTATATTTTGTTCACATGTGCAGTCAGTGGAATTAATAAATGTCAGGACCCTACAGCACATCCAACTCCTACACCAATAATGTATACTGATTCTGCCCACTTCTGCAATATGACCAGCAGAGCTGTAACCCTCACCTAATGACCCCGGTGAAGAACCGGAGGGTATCCGCTGAAAACCACGTCATGAGTTTGAAGTGCCTGCCATGGCCACACCTAGGAGCCCTGCCATGCCCAGGCATCGTCTTGTGATTATCAATGTACTTATGGCAATCAGCGATCAAAAGGAGGGATTGATAAAGGGTTAACCTACCCACAGCAGGCCAAAACCACAAAAGGCCAACTTGTTTGTCAGAATCTGAAAAGCCTAAAACAAGAGGAAAACTATATCAAAGGAGTGGGGCAGTGTGCTCTAACTGGTTCAGTGGACTGTGGATGTACGTACCAGAACTAAATAACAAGCTACCCCAGGAAGCAAGTTAAAGACCTACCCAATATCATATGTAGCCCACATAATAAATACAAAACAACCATTATATGACAGACCCAGGACCCCTGAGCCAAGCAACCAAACAGTTAGAAAAGGAAAACAAGAAAAGGTCACCCAATCATGATCTTATTAGTTCTTTGTCTTTAACCAATCATAGTCTGTAAGTAATGTACTCATAAAAAATCAGCACCTGTCAAAATTGTATAAAAAGCACTTATAGACTGTACTTCTTTGGATTTTGGTCTGTTTATAGCCTGAGTGCTTGCAACCCGTTTCCCACTTTGTTTTCTGATATGTCACAACATGTCAAAATCTCTTTGTTGCAGAAGGCTCTGGTGAAAGCTGTTTTACTACAAGAGCAACAGATAACTGATAACCCTTTCCCTAAACAGCTATCTTTCCTTGTCAGTGAAAAGACTCTCATATCCTTTACGCCTTTCAAGGGGCCTAAAATTATCAGACTTTAGCCAACAATAATACTTTTAAGCATTCTATGCTAGGTGATTTGTAGATACTACCTCTCATTGTCCAACTCTAGAAACTAGGTATTAACATCCCTATTTTACAGATGAGGAAACTGAGGTAAAGTGAGGTTTAGCAATTTTTCAAGGTTACATGGCCAATGAATTTCCTTTCGCAGCCTTCAAATCTTTATTATTGGAAGCCTGGCCTAGTTCTATTCTGACTCAGGGAAAGGAGGTCAGACTTCATGCTTAGCTAGGAAGCACCAGGCGGGAGAGCAAAGTCTCCGTTCCTTAAGTAAACACTGGGAGAGGTCCTGTTCCCAAGTCTCTCTACCGTGATTTTTAAGACACGTATAAAAACTAGACAAGACCGCTCTTTTTCTTCTAAATTTAAAAAAAAAAGGCAGCAACTGTCTTCGCTCAACACTTATTGTTACTAAACTGATTTTTTGTACTTTTTCTCCATGTTTTTGAGTGCTTTCTCCATCTGTACTTTCATAGGTATTCAAGGAACAATATTAATCACAGTTTCAAACCTACAAGGTACAAAAGTACAAGGCCTCCTTCCCACCTCTGTCCCCCAGCCACCCAGTTTTCTCCCTAAAATTGTAGCAAATAATGTCATTAGTTGCTTGTGTATCCTTTCAGATATTTCTAGCTTCCCAAGCAAACAAGTGTATGTGTTCTTCCTAACCCCCCAAGAAGAGTTGTCTAAACATTTAAAATTAAATCATATGAAGAGAAATCAAAATCAAACAAAAATGCAAGCAAAATTTCATATAGCAACAGAGTTTTATAAAATACTTCATATTAAAAAATGTAAAAAACAAAAAATAAAGAGGAAGGAGGAGAAGTGGGGGAGAATTTAGAGGACTTGGACAAGAAGAAGGAGGAGGAGAAGAAATAAAAAATCTCTTTCTCCCACCCGCATCCTGACCAGGGTCTCTGTTACGCGTAAGACATTATGGAACGCGCTGGGGAAACGAGAACAAACAGAGCTCAGTCTCTTTATGAACGCTTGCCTTACCGAACATACGTATTAGCCTGCTGCCTTTCACAAGCCTGTGCTTTCTTGCTCTTTAGTAGTCAGTGGTGCTGGAAACATCATTTAAGAGAGCGGCATTTTACAAAGGAGGACTACCTAACGACAGTGTTGACAGAGAAGAACACTATTTCTCAGTCAAAAACAAAAACTGTTCAACTCTCACCCATTTTCCAAAAGAACAAGAGAAATGTAAAAAGGATACAGACGAAAAGGTAGAAGGTTGGTGAGATTAGAGTAGCAAAGAACCTTTTTCTTCTTTATTTATCAGGCTAATATGTCTCCTCTTGAGCAAGATCTCATATGAAGGCTATGGAGTAGCCCAAATGTTACTGCATCAGTTGGCTACAAAAAGGTACACATTTCAGTATTTATGGAAAAAAAAAAAAAAATGCCCCCAACTCCTCCCAATGCCAACAGCAACAGTCCCTTCCCAAACTCCCCACCATCAACCTTCTCTGCCCCTATTACAATAGTTAGGTTCCAAGCATCTCAACCTTTTCCTGTCATACTCTTAAAGATCCTAAATCATTTATAATGAGGCTATATTATATTGGTCTATAAGCACAAAACAATAAAAGGTCAAGATGATAGTCCTAATCATTCTCCTTTCTAACACTCTGGAAAACAGAATTAACAGAGAAACCTCTACCAGAACAACAGCAACTTTGCTGCAGGCCAAAAGGAAAAAGCTAAAAAATACCAGCTTCAACAAGAGTGAAGAAAACACACAATGAGAAAAAACAACTTATGTAATAGAAGAAGCAATAAAGGTGGGAATCCTAGCCTTGAACTCTTGACTCTGCACTTCTTGAGTGGCACTAGAGAGAATACTGGCTCTAGATATATTAAATAAGATTCGGGATGGAAAAGGGCTTGCATAAGGTTTTTTTTTATTTAAATAGCTCCCCCCTCCATTCCCTTACCATACATCCACTCTATGGATTTAGGTACACAACCACTGAAAAGTATCAACAATGGGGGATGCAGAACCAACCATAAGCTCTTCAACTACCTGGTTGTCTTAGTCATCTAGTGCTGCTACAATAGAAACACCACAAGTGGACAGCTTTAACAACGAGAAATTTATTTCTTCACAGTCCAGTAGCCTAAAAGTCCAAATTCAGGGCATCAACTCCAGGAGAAGCTTTTCTCTCTCCATCGGCCTTCTTCTCTTCAGTGTTCCCCCGGACTAGGAGCTTCTCCGCACAGGGACCCCGGGTCCAAAGGACACGCTCTGCTCCTGGCACTTTCTTGGTGGTATGAGGTCCCCCTGTCTCTCTGCTCACTTCTCTCTTTTATATCTCAAGAGATTGCCTCAGGACACAATCCAATCTTGTAGACTGAGTCCTGCCTTACTAACACAACTGCCACCCATCCTCCATCGTTAACATCATAGAGGCAGGATTTACAACATATAGGAAAATCACACAATTCCAGGAATCATGGCCCAGCCAAATTGATACACACATTTTTGAGGGGACATAATTCAATACACGACATTGGTCTAGTGTCAACCGCTCCATAAGAGAACTTTCAAGTAGGATCATTTTGACTTAGTAGCTTAAAACAACAAGAACTTAATGGTTCTCGTAAGTTTATGATTTGGCTGGGCTCGGCTAATGGTCTTCTGGTCTCACCTGGGGTCATCCATGCGGCTATAGTCAACTGGCAACTTGACTGAGGCTACAGAGTCTAAGGTCCTGTCATTCACGTGTCTGGGACACTGGTGCTGGTTATTGGCTGGGCCTCTCTACACATGTGGTCTCTAACCACTTACTATAACCTGTGCTTCATTATACGGTAGTTGAATCATTCCAAGATGGCAAAAGCAGAAGCCGAGAGACCTCTCAAAGCCTCGGATCCAGAACCTGCACATCACTTCTGCCACATTTTACAGGTCAAAGCAAATCACAAGGCCAGTCCAGAGTAAAAGTGTGAGGAAGTAATTTACATGGGATCAAACTGACAACAGCAAGCGGAAAGATTGCATAGGCACCTTAGAGGGCAGTGAGTTTATGTTAATGGGGAGGAACCACTCAGGAAAGGAGAGTGAGAATGGTTCCCCAACTTAGAAGAATGTAATCAAAGTCACTGAATTGCACATGTAGAAATGGTGGAAATGGTCTATGTTTTGCTGTGTATATTCTCAACAACAGCAAAAAAATAATTTTTTTTAAAAGTGTGAGGAAATAGACTCAACCTCTTAATAGGAGCTGCAAAATATTGTGGCTGTTTTTCAATCTAACACGTATGTATTCAATAGATACTTGCAGCATGAATAAATGGATGCGGTGAATATACTTGTATTCCATTTACCAGTTTCCAGTCTAAATATCTCAGTTACTTACTTAACCACCTCACAAATATCACATTCCCACTAAAGACGATTCCAAAAATAAATAACTCAATCTAGGACTTTACCTGAAAGAGCCTCCAACCTACTTGGAGAGGACAAGATGTACTTATACTTACAAAAAGCTCATCAATATAAGAATTCAACACAAATACAGGATGCCACAATTAGACTTCACAAGGTAGAATACTGCACCTGCCAAATAAGGGGGCAAAATAAGGGATGGATCAAGGCCCGAGATGTCCAAGTCAAAACTATACATAGATTCAGCTGAAGCTGTCTTAAAAAATGGATAGGATTTTTACAATTAATTATGGCACTTTATAGGGGAGGAAAAAAAGTATAAGCCAAGTGAGAGATGAAGGATCTTGAGAAGAGTTGAGGGAAGAAATGTCCTAAGGCCGAGATATCCTGCTTCATTTGTCATCTTCCAGGTGACACATCCCCAACCCCACCCCACCCCAAATTCACTGCAGACTCAGATTCCAGCCTCCGTGTCAACCTCTCTGTCTTCTCTCATTTTCCCTGGTGGCTTCAACATCCACACGGATGACAACACAACCTCCTTTCTCCCTCCTTGGAGTTTTAACCTTTCAGTTGTCTAGCCTCCAGCATCAGACCCCACTTTCCCACCACAACTGCCCATCCTGCTAGCCCTTTCACTCAAGCACATTCTACAACCACCTCAAGTCCATCAACCCCTTACCAACTTTACTTCCTTTTAGCCTGGATTAAATTCCACAGAGGGTGCAAAGCTTGAAGCTACCCCCAACTTTCTTTCGATCTCTGAAATAGTTGTCTAGTAATACCCTGACCCTAGATAAACTTAACACACTTCATCAACTGCCTTCTCCACGCCCGCACCAAACAGGTGAACATGCCGAGGGGAAGAAAACACACACACACATGCATGCATGCACACACGCACACACAAACCAGTTTCATTTTAAACTGACAATCTCAAACTTGGAAAAGGCCCTCAACACCACCCAGCACTCCAACTCAAGTTTTCTAGTAAGTTTGCTTACTCTACTCTCCAAAATGATTTTATCTTCTGCTCAAACACCCACCCACCCGCAGCTCTCACCTGACATTTTTCCCTCCTACTTGGCTGATAAAGTAGGCAATATCCAACAACTTAGATCTTCCCACCACCAAATTACGACAGTTACCTGCATTTTTCTCCCCTCCGTGATATAAGGAAGGCACCCTCCTTTTCCTCTCCTCGGAGTTTTGACTTTTCAGTTGTCTCCTCCACTGGCTCATTCCCAGAAGCTTATGAAGTTCCTCTTTAAAAGTCCCTCTTGATACACTGTTGGTGGGAATGTAAAATGGTACAACCACTTTGGAAATCAATTTGGCACTTCCTTAAAAAGCTAGAAATAGAAGTACCATACGATCCAGCTATCCCATTCCTTGGAATATATCCTAGAGAAATAAGAGCTGTCACACGAATAGACATATGCACACCCATGTTCACTGCAGCACTGTTCACAATACCAAAAAGATGGAAACAACCCAGGTGCCCATCAACGGACGAATGGATAAATAAATTATGGTATATCCACACAATGGAATACTACACAACGGTAAAGAACAATGATGAAGCCGTGCAACGTAACATGGAGGAATCCGGAGAGCATTATGCTGAGTGATTTTAGTCAGTCACACAAGGACAAATATTGTATAATACCACTATTATAAGAGCTCAAGGAAAGATTTAAACACAGAAGAAAACAGTCTTTGATGGTTACGGGGGTGGGGAGGGCGGGTGAGGGTTATTCACTAACTAGATAGTAGACAAGTATTATCTTAGGTGAAAGGAAGGACAGCACTCACTACAGGGGAAGTCAGCATAACTGGACTAAACCAAAGCTAAGAAGTTTCCTGAATACAATCAAACACTTTGAGGGACA